ATGTATGTATGTATGTATGTATATGTATATGTATATATACATATACATATATATACATATATACATATATGTATATATGTATATGTGCGTGTGTGTATATATATATATGTGTGTATATGTGCATATATATATATATATATATATATATAATATAATATAATATAAATCTTTCACTTGGCACATCTAATACCATTGGAAGACAACGCCTCTGTTTTAAAGACTCCACTTACAAGGTACTAGAATACAAGTAAAGGTTAAATTTTTTTTGAAAATTACTGCTAGTGCCCTCCAAAATTCCTTGATTTCCTGCAACGTATTTTAGTCGTGTTTCTTTTTTAAAAAAAGAAGAAAACTTCAGTTATATTCCTGATACCTACAAGGTGATCGGGTAGAAAAGAAGGCATATGTTTTCAAGATGGCACGTATCTAAGTAGAAATTCAACTTGGAGGGGGGAAAATAATTTAAAAAGAAATAATACCATCAGGGTGTTGTTTTTTAGCAAAACTGCTGGAAGAAAATATTTTTTACCTATAGGTAGTCCTCAGCTTATGACTACAATTGGGACCAGAATTTCCACTGCTGACCAAGGTTGCTAAGTGAGACCTGCCTTATTTTATGACCTTTTTTTTTGCCAAGGTTGTTAAGCAAATAACTGCAGAGTTCTGTGTATCACAAAGTCATTCTGACTCTGCTTGTCAGAAGCTGTCTAGGAAAGTTGCAAGTGGTGATCACATGATTCCAGAATGCTGCAACCATCATAAATGTGGTTGTCAACCATCTGGATTTTGATCATGTGACTTTGGAGATGCTGCAATGGTCATATAAGGCACCACTTCAGTGCCATTTTAACTTCAGATTGTAAGTTTACTTGATTCAGTGTTCATTTGCGATAAATAAGTTGGATTTTTTTTTAATGAGATCTCTTTACAAAACACTGTATATCCTAGCTCTGGCTCACGGCAATGTTCCTGATATTTTCCCCTTCCTCAATGTTACAACCTCCCTTCCAATTGGACTGAAACATCTTGATTGCCTGAAGATCATTCACTGAGCTTCAGGAAATCAAGAAATGATTTAAATCTGGGTCTCCATGGGCCTAGGGCCACATTTTAGCTATGACTTTTCATTGCCTTTACCCAACCAAAATCTTCCATCTGTACTTCACTTTTATGGACTTCCTAAGCTCATCTTTGGTGATCGCTTTCTAATGCATTTCTTGTAATTGGGTCCCCAAAAAATAAGGACACATTTGCTCATAGATAGCCTTCACAGAGTGTCTTCTGGAACAATGGAACAGAACTATTAAAAAAATGTTCATTCCATAGTCTATATGGGATGTTGTTGTTAGTTGCGAAGTCGTGTCCGACCCATCACAACCCCATGGACAACATTCCTCCAGGCCTTCCTGTCCTCTACCATCCCCCAGAGTCCATTTAAGCTCACACCAACTGCTTCAGTGACTCCATCCAGCCACCTCATTCTCTGCCATCCCTTTCTTCTTCTTTTGCCCTCAATCTATATGGGATAGTAGGTTCAATTTGTAAGAATCTTTGCATAGGGGGAGGAGGGGAGACCTTCAGCATTCAACAATGCTGAATGTTATCATCAAACAACAAAAGTAAAGATATGTTGCCTCTGCTGTGTTCCCATCCCATATTCACAATCCAATGTGGTCATTTTTAAAAGTGCCCCTTTATAAAATTGGTCAACATTATTAAAGAGGTGGTATGTTTATTATAAAAGTAAAGGTTCCCTTCGCATACACATGCTAGTTGTTTCTGGCACGAGGGGGTGATGCTCAACTCCAGTTCAAAGCCGAAGAGCCAGTGCTGTCCGAAGACGTCTCCGTGGTCATGTGGCCGGCATGATTAAACGCCAAAGGCGCAAGGAATGCTGTGACCTTCCCACCAAAGGGGTCCCTATTTTTCTACTTGCATTTTTACATGCTTTTGAACTGCTAGGTTGGCAGAAGCTGGGACAAGTAACGGGCGCTCATTTCGTTACAAGTAATTCAAGTAGCTCCATTACTTGATGCTAAGCTTGTCGATCAGAAAGGTCGGCAGTTCGGCGGTTTGAATCCCTAGCACCGCATAACGGAGCGAGGCCCATTACTTGTCCCAGCTTCTGCCAACCTAGCAGTTTGAAAGCATGTAAAAATGCAAGTAGAAAAATAGGGACCCCTTTGGTGGGAAGGTAACCGTGTTTCATGTGCCTTCAGCATTTCGTCATGCCAGCCACATGACCACGGAGACGTCTTCGGACAGCTCTGGCTCTTTGGCTTTTTAATGGAGATGAGCACCGCCCGCTAGAGCCAAAAAAACCTAGCATGTATGTGCAAGGGGAACCTTTACCTTTAGAGTTTCTTTCTGGAGTCATAAGACATGTTTTATCATTTACCTTCTCCTTGTCCCTCTCCTGCAGATGTTTATGGTGTGACATTAATTAAGAGACTTCTTGTAAAATTGCAAAAATTGAGTCTTCTGCTTTTCTAATTCCATCTCTGATCTGTAGTCAAGCCATATTTTCTTACGGGCCGTTTTAATAAATAAAAAGAAATGAGATGAACAGATTAAAGCATAAAATT